ACCTGTATTCTTCCTCGGATTGCATCGTGTGTAGTGTGATTTTATTCAGACATGATTGTAATTTCTCATTAAAAGTCGTTTCAGAAAGGCGCACAGATGAGGGATTTGTGGCTAATAAAGGTGATTGTAGGCATCCTGCGGGCGTCTTCTTGTAGGCAGGTCTGGATGGCAGACGGGTTCTCAGCAGGATGGAGGTTCCAATAGCCGATCTCCACATCCTGAGGCAGCAAAGCATCTCCACCGATATACACGAGGTCCTGCAGGGAAACACGTCTGCTTTGTGTCAGATACCCGTCATTGGTTCCTTGTATCCAATGGAAGTCGGGACCCTACCTTGGGTGACATTATTGGAGGTTAGGGTTCATCCCAGGGTGTCATTGATGGAGGGTTAGGGGCCGTCCCAGGGTGTCATTGATGGAGGTTAGGGGGCGTCCCAGGGTGTCATTGATGGAGGTTAGGGGGCACGTCCCAGGGTGTCATTGAATGGAGGTTAGGGACCCATCCCAGGGTGTCATGTGTTATTGATGGAGGTTAGGGACCATCCCAGGGTGTCATTGATGGAGGTTAGGGACCACCTTGTGGTGTCATTGATGGAGGTTAGGGGCCGTCCCAGGGTGTCATTGATGGAGGTTAGGGACCATCCCAGGGTGTCATTGATGGAGGTTAGGGACCACCTTGTGGTGTCATTGATGGAGGTTAGGGGCCGTCCCAGGGTGTCATAGATGGAGGTTAGGGACCATCCCAGGGTGTCATTGATGGAGGTTAGGGACCATCCCTTGGGTGTCATTAGATGGAGGTTAGGGGCCGTCCTTAGGGTGTGACAATTGATGGAAGGTTAGGGACAATCCAAGGGTGTCATTGATGGAGGTTAGGGACCACCTTGTGGTGTCATTGATGGAGGTTAGGGGCCGTCCCAGGGTGTCATTGATGGAGAGTTAGGGACCATCCCAGGGTGTCATTGATGGAGGTTAGGGACCACCTTGTGGTGTCATTGATGGAGGTTAGGGGCCCGTCCCGTCCCAGGGTGTCATTGATGGAGGTTAGGGACAACCTCTGTGGTGTCATTGATGGAGGTTAGGGGACCATCCCAGGGTGACATAGATGGAGGTTCAGGATCATCTTAGGAAGTCAATTAATGGAGGTTAGGGACAATCCCGGGGTGTCATTAATGACTGGGGACAACCCTAGGAAATGTCATTAATGGAAGTTAGGGACCATCCCAGGGTGACATTTATGGAGGTTAGGGACTGTTCTGGAGCGCCATTATTGGAGGTTTTCATGGACCACCCTGGGATGTCATTAATGGAAATCAGGGATAACCCCTGGGGGCTTATTGATGGAAGTTGGGGGACCATCCTGAGTTGAGCCATTGAATGAAATCCGTAGAGGATGACCCTGAGCTGCATTTGATGGAAGTCCCAGACCATCCTGGGGTTCTGTCAATAATTGAAATCCAAGGGTCATTCTGGGACTTCTTAACTACACCAAGCAAGGGTCCAGGCCCCGACCATTAAACAACCTACCGATGGCAGACTGACCACACACAGACATCATAGGAGACATAGTTGTGTGCGGCTGGAGCGATGGTCGGCGTTTTTTAAAACCAAATCTCACCAAGCATTCACCCGATATAAATCTGCACATCTGCACATAACAATACTCCCACTCCATGCTGCCAGACAAGCCTACTTTGTCCACTCTCATCAACACCTTCTCATCCTGGTCCACGTTGTCTATTCTCATACTTTTAACTCTCTACTCCTCCACCACCCACCCAGTACCTCACTCACTGCTCACGAGATTGCAAATCATTTCAAAAACAAAGATTGACGCAATTGTAGGGACATCTCCACTGCACAGACATCCATCCCACTTAGCATTACCTCATACTAAACCTCCCTCAACACTTTCATCTTCTGACCTTCTACTACCGAGAGGTCACTAAGGTTTCTCAGCAACCCGTCTCACACTACCTGCCCCCCTGGATCCTGTCCCCTCACAACTACTATAGTCACCCTCTTTACTTCCATCCTATGCTCCTCACTCACATCTTCAATCTCTTCCCTCTCTACTGGTGCCTTCCCCTCCCCTCCCCTCTAAAGCATGCGCACATCACTCCCATAACTTAACAAGCCCTCCCTGGACCCCACCAACCTGAACAACTTAAGACCCATCTCCCTGCTGCCATTTACCCCCTAAACTCCTAGAACGCTTAGTCTACAATCGTCCTGAGCTCCTCCCACCTCACAACAACAACCTTCTTGCCCCCTTTACAGTCTGGCTTTCACCTCACTACACTCCACTGACACCTCCCTACTAAACCTCACTAATGATCTACTAACTGCTAAAACCAATGGCCACTACTCCGTACTCATCCCAACCATGGCCTCTACTCCCGTACTCATCCCAACCAATGGCCACTACTCCGTACTCAATCCCACCACCAATGGCCACTACTCCGTACTCTCCCACCCTATGGCCACTACTCCGTACTCATCCAACCGATGGCCACTACTCCGTACTCATCCCAACCGATGGCCACTACTCCGTACTCATCCCAACCAAGTTGGCCACTGCACTCATCCCAACTCATCATCCCAAAACCAACATGGCCACTACTCCCGTACTCATCCCAACCAATGGCCACTACTCCGCACTCATCCCAACCAATGGCCACTACTCCGTACTCATCCCAACCAATGGCCACTACTCTCCGTACTCATCCCAACCAAATGGCACTACTCCGTACTCATCCCAACCAATGGCCACTACTCCGTACTCATCCAACCAATGGCCACTACTTACCGTACTCCTCCCAACCAATGGCCACTACTCCCGTACTCCTCCCAACCAATGGCCACTACTACTACTCAATCCCAACCAATCCACTACTCCAACTATTCCCAGCCCAACCAATGGCCACTACTCCGTACTTCCTCCCAATCCAATGGCCACTTACTCCGTACTCATCCCAACCAATGGGCCACTACTCGTACTCATCCCAAACTCAATGGCCACTACTCCGATACTCATCCCAAAACCAATGGCCACTACTCCGCATCATCCCAACCGGATGGCCACTACTCTTGCACTCATTCCCAGGCCAATGGCCACTTACTCCGTACTCCTCCCAACCAATGGCCACTACTCCTCCGTACTCATCCCAACCAATGGCCACTACTCCGTACTCAACTCCAACCAATGGCCACTCACTCTCCGTACTCATCCCAACCAATGGCCACTACTACTCCGTACTCATCCCAACCAATGGCCACTACTCCGTACTCCTCCCAACCCAATGGCCACTACTCCGCTACTCCTCCCAACCAAATGGCACTACTCCGTACTCATCCCAAACCACTACTGGCAACATACTCCGTACTCTGCCCCAACCAATGGCCACTACTCCGTAACTCATCATCCCAACCAAATGGCCCACTACTCTTGTACTCATCCCAACCAATGGCACCTACTCCGTACTCATCCACAACTAATGGCCACTACTTCCTCTCCAACCAATGGTCACTACTCCCATACTCATCCCAACCAATGGTCAACATACCCTGTACTCATCCCAACCAATGGCCACTACGTACCGGCACACTCCGTACTCATCCCAACAATGGCCACTACGCCGCATAACCAATCCCAACCAATGGTCACTACTCCGTACTCATCCCAACCACATGAACACTACACCATTATCCCAACCAATGGTCACTCTACGTACGCACCATCCCAACCAATGACCACTACTCCATACCCACTCATCCCAACCCAATGGTCACTACTATACACTACTCATCCCTCCCTTGTGGTGCAACTACTCCACTCATCCCAACCATGAAACCACTACTCCACTATACCTCATCCCAACCAATGGGTCACTACTCCGTACTCATCCCAACTCCAATGACCACTACTCCGTACTCATCCCAACCAAATGGTCACTACTCCTCGTACCACCATCCCAACCAATGGTCACTACTCCGTACTCATCCCAACCAATGGTCCTACTACTCCGTACTCATCCCAACCTATGGCCCACTACTCCGTACTCATCCCAACCAATGGCCACTACGTCCGTAACTCATCCCAACCAATGGCCTACTCTCCGCACTCATCCCAACCAATGGCCACTACTTCCGCTCATACTCCTCTCAACGGCAATGGATTACTACTGACCGCACTCCCTCCTCCCAACTCAACTCTCTGGGCCAAGACCTACTTCTCCTGGTTCTCATCCCCAACAATGCAGCGCTCTTTCAGCGTTACCTATAACTGCCTCCTCCTCTTCACTACTCCCTCATTCTGTAGGGGTCCCTCACCTGTGGCCACCTCCCTTAATCGTACTCCATCTACACCACCTCCCTTGGTCACTTGATAACCTCCCATTCTCTATTGCTTGATGACACAACCAATCTATCTTTATACTACTCACCCTAACCCATTCAGTCTCCTCAACCAATCGCCCCCTTTAGTCCACCTCCTCACCTCACCCCGTTCAGATCTCCACTCGCAATTGACTATGGCCTCTAAGTGACCGTATAATCTGCATGGATGTCACTACCACTTCCGTCAATTCAAATCTTTACACTAAACTGAGCTCTCATACCCCCCAAAGCCCAGTGCCCCCTCCGACTTCTCCATCAAGATTAAACAACTACAACCATCTCTGCGGCCTCATGCCAGGCACGGTACTTCTGTGTTAATCCTAGACTCCCATCTGTCCTCTCCTTCAGCCACAAAATCCAATTCACTGCTCCACAATCTTGCCTCACCTCCTCGCAACATCTCCAAGGATACTCCGTATAACCTTAACCTCAGAAACCACTAAGCAACTTAGTCCCTCCCTTGTTAGTCTGTCACCAGGACTATTGTCCTCCTCTTTCCTCATTGGTTGAGGGTCCTCATCGTACTTGGCTATCCCCTTTCTTCTCCATCAAATGAATGACTCGACTGCTAGACCTCATCTACCTTACTAACCATACCATTGATAACCTCTCTGCCAATCTCTCCACTGGGCTTCAGTGACACCCCTCTCTGCCAATCCTCCACTGGCCTCCATTGTGTCTCCTTCCACTCTCGCCAATCCTCCAATGGGGGCCCTCCTTCAGTGTCCTCCACCCTCGCCCCAATCCCTCCACTGGCCTCCACTCAGTGTCCTCCACCCCACTCCTTCCAGTCCCTCCACTCCTCCACAGGTGTACTCCACCTCTTGCCAATCCCATCCACTCAGTGTCCTCCACCCCTCTCTGCCAATCCCTCACTGGCTCCCCTTTGCCTCAATAAAATTCAAAACTTTAACAATAACTGAAACTCTTCTTAAACTCCTCCCCAAATTACAATCCCCAATCTTTGTGCCCCCTCTCCAACTATCACCATCAACTGATCAACAATTTCGCACACCTTTATCTACTAGCTCCCCCTTGATGTCCTCATTCCAGGCAGCATCTCCAGGACTGTAAATCCAGTGACTCCCCCATCTTGTCCTTTCACTGAGGGAAAATCCAAGATCATCACTGTTATTTAAATGGAGGATGGTGGGACCTTGAGGTAGATGGTTCCACCTCGCCAACATCTGTCTGGATGTCTGTGAAGAAAGTTGGGGAGCACCCTGGGTTGCCTGATAGAAGTTGGGGGACCATTCTGGAATTTCATTGATGGAAGTTGGGGACCATACTGGTATGTTGTCTACAAAGATAGCTGGAGACCATCCTGGGTGCCTGATGGGAATTGGGGCCCATTCTGGAATTTCATTAGATGGATCGTTGGGGACCCCGCATAACTGGTATGCGTCTAACAATGATAGCTGGAGACCATCCTGGGATGCCTGATGAAGTTGGGACCCCATTCTGGAATTTTCATTGATAGACGTTGGGAGACCCATCTTGCGTTGTCATTGATTAGAAGCTGAGAAAATATTACTGGGGTGTTGAGGGAAGTTTGGTGAATGTTGGGGACCACATTAGGGTGTCACTAATGTAAAGTTAGAGACTACCCTGGCTTGTCAGTGATGAAGGCGAGGGCCACCCTTGGGTTACATTGATGTTGTTGATGGTTCCTCCAGGGGACTCTCTCTCTTCATGGTGTCTGACTGTAATGGGTCTTCGCTGATAGCAACCCTTTCAGGATTCTGTCCTGTCCAGGGAACGATCCACAGCTACTTGAGGAAACACAGGATGGGGGAGTTGGTACATCAGACCAATTAGATTGAATCTATATAAAACTCATCTCTTGTGGTCTCCACACCTTTCTTCTAGATCCTCCTCTGATCCAGGTTTCATACAGCAGCCCTCTGCGCCTCAATGGACATTATTTACAGGGAACTAAAGTGAATAAGACAGAACTCAGACCTCACAAAAGTGGTAAGAGCAAGAGCCGCCCTCGTCCTCCTATGTGTGACAGTTAGGTGGGCGGGGTTCTCAGCCCAGAGGCATCATGAATGAGACAAACAATGTTAGTGTAACACTTTATTATCTGTGACCAAAGATCAATACAGGGAGTACAGACGGGGTATAAGGGGGGGCACGGTATACAGGGGTGGGGTATAATCTGGGGCACGGTAATACAGGGGTGGGGTATATATGGGGGCACGGTATACAGGGGTGGGGTATAAGGGGCACGCACGGTTATACAGGGGTGTGGGGTATAAGGGGGGCACGGTATAACAGGGGTTGGGGTGGGCGTACGGTTGTGTTACAGGGGGGCACGGTTAATACAGGGGCACGGTATACAGGGGTGGGGGTATAATGGGGGCACGGTAGTATACAGGGGTGGGGGTATAATGGGGCACGGTTATACAGGGGTGGGGGGTTAAAAGGGGGGCACGGTATACAGGGGTGTGGTATAATGGGGGCACGGTATACAGGGTGGGGGTATAATGGGGGCACGGTATACAGGGGTGGGGGGTATAATGGGGGCACGGTATACAGGGGTGGGGGTATAAATGGGGGCACGGTTATACAGGGGTGGGGGTATAAATGGAGGTACGGTATACAGGGGTGGGGTATAAGGGGGTACGGTATACAGGGGTATGGTAACAGGGGAGGGGTATAATGGGGGCACGGTATACAGGGGTGGGGTATAATGGGGGGGGCACGGTATACAGGGGTGGGGTATACAGGGGTAACGGTATACAGGGGTGGGGTATATACAGGGCGGTACGGTATACAGGGGTGGGTATACAGACCGGTTTGGGGGGTACAAGTATAAGGAGGCACGGTATACAGGGGTGGGGTATAATGGGGGGGTACGGTTATACAGGGGTGGGGTATAAATGGGGGTTACGGTATACAGGGGGGGGGTATAATGGGGTACAGTATAATGGGGTACGGTATACAGGGGTGGGGTATAACAGTGGGGGTACGGTATACAGGGGTGGGGGGGGGTATATAATGGGGGTACGGTATACAGGGGTGGGGGTATAATGGGGGCACGGTAATACAGGGTGGGGGTATAATGGGGGTACGGTATACAGGGGGTGGGGTATAATGGGGGTAACGGTATACAGGGGTGGGGGTATAATGGGGGTACGGTATACAGGGGTGGGGTATAATGGGGTGGGGTATACGGGGTTAATAAGGGGGGTACAGTTATACATGGGGGGTACGGTATACAGGGGGGGGTATAATGGGGGGTACGGTAGGGGGGTACGGTATACAGGGGGTGGGGTATAATGGGGGCACGGTATACAGGGTGGTGGGGTATAATGGGGGTACAGTGGTTTTTTCACTATAAATGGGGTACGGTATACAGGGGTGGGGGTATAATGGGGGTAACGGTACGGTATACAGGGGTGGGGTATAATGGGGGTACGGTATAATGGGGGTACGGTATACAGGGGTGGGGGTATAATGGGGTACGGTATACAGGGGTGGGGTATAATGGGGGGTACGGTATACAGGGGGGGGGTATAATGGGGGTTTACGGTATAATGGGGTACGGTATACAGGGGTGGGGTATAAATGGGGGACAGTATAATGGGGGTACGGTATACAGGGGTGGGGTATAATGGGGTATAGTATAATGGGGTTTACGGTATACAGGGGTGGGGTATAATGGGGGTATACAGGGGGGTACGGTATACAGGGGTATAATGGGGTGGGGTATAATGGGGGTACGGTATACAGGGGTGGGGTATAATGGGGGGTCAGGTATATGGGGTACGGTATACAGGGGTGGGGTATAATGGGGGGTACGGTATACAGGGGTGGGGTATAAATATGGGGTACGGTATACAGGGGTGGGGTATAATGGGGGTACGGTATACAGGGGTGGGGTATAATGGGGGGTACAGTATAATGGGGTACGGTATACAGGGGTGGGGTATAATGGGGTACGGTATACAGGGGGTGGGGTATAATGGGGTACGGTATACAGGGTGGGGTATAATGGGGGTACGGTATACAGGGGTGGGGTATAATGGGGGTATGTATACAGGGGTGGGGTATAATGGGGGGGTACGGTATACAGGGGTGGGGTATAATGGGGGTACGGTATACAGGGGGTACGGTATACAGGGGTGGGGTATAATGGGGGTACGGTATACAGGGGTGGGGTATAATGGGGGTACGGTATAATGGGGTACAGGGGTATATAATGGGGGGGGTATAAGGGGGGTACGGTATAATGGGGTACGGTATACAGGGGTGGGGTATAATGGGGGGGTACAGTATAATGGGTGGGGTATAATGGGGTACGGTATACAGGGGTGGGGTATAATGGGGGACGGTATAATGGGGTACGGTATAAGGGGGTACGGTATACAGGGGTGGGGTATAATGGGGGTACTGGGGGGTACGGTATACAGGGGTGGGGTATAATGGGGGGACGGTATACAGGGGGTATATACAGGGGTGGGGTATAATGGGGGTACGGTATAATGGGGGGGTATAATGGGGGTACGGTATAATGGGGTACGGTATACAGGGGGACGGTATAATGGGGGGTACGGTATACATGGGGTGGGGTATAATGGGGGTACGGTATACAGGGGGACGGTGGGGTATATATGGGGTGGGTGGTACGGTATACAGGGGTGGGGTATAAGGGGGTACGGTATACAGGGGGACGGTATAACGGGGGGTACAGTATACAGACAGGACACAATCATGGCATTAATGATGAAAGTAAACCCCCAAATCCAGAGTCGTGTTCAGGACGGCTCCGCCTCACATGGGAGATGACCGGCCACCATCCCCAACTATGTGCAATTCCCCATACTGACATCCTGCTAGCATCATGTGACCTGAAGAGGTGGGGCTTCCTGCATCATGTGATTTAGAGGAGGGGCTTATATCTGCATCCTGTAGTCCGGTTGGGCTGGGATTCCAGGGAGAGATCCTACAACGGATCCAATAACGACGTGTCCATCCCTCCGCTCATAGCACCATCACCCCCCGTAGTGGGCGGGCCAATTGTATCTCCCATCAGTCACCCTGCAGGGGGAGCAGCCGCTCTCTTCTGTTGGAATGGGGGGGGGGGGGGGGGGGGGGCAGTTTATCACCCCATCATGTGTCACCTTGTAGTGGTGTCCAGGCCTCAGTCTCCTTTCTCACCTCGCAGTGGAAGAGCAGTTCTCCGCTACCTTGCCCTACAATGGGAGGAGCAACTAATGTGTCACCCTGCGGTGGGAGGGGCGGCTGCTCCTGTGTCACCCTGCGGTGGGAGGGGCGGCTGCTCCTGTGTCACCCTGCGGTGGGAGGGGCGGCTGCTCCTGTGTCACCCTGCGGTGGGAGGGGCGGCTGCTCCTGTGTCACCCTGCGGTGGGAGGGGCGGCTGCTCCTGTGTCACCCTGCGGTGGGAGGGGCGGCTGCTCCTGTGTCACCCTGCGGTGGGAGGGGCGGCTGCTCCTGTGTCACCCTGCGGTGGGGGGGCGGGCTCCTGCGGCCTGCGATGCTCCTGCTCCTGTGTCACCCTGCGGTGGGGGAAGGGCCCCTTGTGTCTCTATCATTAACACATAAGAGGTAACGCTGTAGGAATGAGGCGTCACGCACACGCATGGAGAGCTCGCACACGGCTCTGACCCCTCCATGTCACACACACACAGCCACTGCAGCCCCGGTGACACATGAGACCGCTCAGCTCAAAGCTCCATCCCCTCATCTGCCTCTGACCCATCCTTCCCTTGCCGGCTCTTCATGGGCGGGTCCCGAGGCCTGGACAGGGAGTGAAGGAGCCGGTGGATGGGACTGGTTGGGAGGAGACCAAATGACGAGTTCCAAACAGGGAGAAGATCTGCAGAAAGGAGAAGATCAGTCATTACATCGCCTGTACACCCCCCCCCCCCATCATCATCATCATCATCATCATCACTGGGCACACATTACATAGTTAGTCTGGCTGAAAAAAGACAAAAGTCCATCCAGTTCAACCATAGAAAAAAAAAAGAATCCTCCACCCACAGATCACATCATGTGACACCCCAATGACACCCAGGGAATGGTAGAGATTGGGGTGTGATGCCAATGTCAGTACAGTGGATGGTGGCCGCTCCCCAAAAACAGGCCCTGGAGTTCCCAAGAACAAAGAAACAAGATGGCGCCTCACCGAAGTGTGAACTGTCAGATCTACGACCAGCAATGAATCCGAAGATCACACCCAGCAGAGGGAACATCCTTGTGAATGTGGTCATCCGACAGGTGGCAGAGACGGGCAGAGCGGCCGGATGGCAGAGCATGAGAATGAGTGTGAGAACCATTGTGGTGCTGGAACACAAGCTGACTGGCGGCATCCGGGTCCAAGTCCTGACTAAACTCGGCTCTCCTCCAGGATGACGTCACTACGTACAGGGGGCATGGTTACCAATAGGTTGGTTTGACAAAGGGGCTGAACCCAGAAATGCATAGCCACACCCCCTAAATGTCATCCTGGAGGAGAGCCGAGTGGACCCGCAAGTCACCCGCCGCCGCCCGCCACAACTCTGCCTTCACCTGCCGCCGCCCGCCACAACTCTGCCTTCACCCCCGCCGCCCGCCACAAACTCTGCCTTCACCCGCCGCCGCCGCCCGCCACAACTCTGCCTTCACCCGCCGCCCCCCTCCACAACTCTGCCTTTACCCGCCGCCGCCGCCCGCCACAACTCTGCCTTCACCCGCCGCCGCCGCCCGCCACAACTCTGCCTTCACCCGCCGCCGCCGCCCCACAACTCTGCCTTCACCCGCCGCCGCCGCCACAACTCTGCCTTCACCCGCCGCCCGCCACAACTCTGCCTTCACCCGCCGCCGCCGCCCCCGCCACAACTCTGCCTTCACCCGCCGCCCGCCACAACTCTGCCTTCACCCGCCGCCCCGCCACAACCCGCCACAACTCTGCAGCTCCTTGGATGACTATAAGGAGTGCAAGATTTTTATCCAATACGACTTTATCTGATAGTTTACACTTAGATTGTGGGGCCCTGGCTTGTTTTCTCTCTATGTGGAGAGGGAAGGAAGGAGGCCCCCCCCAGGCTGGAGGAGAGGGAGAGGGAAGGGAAGGCCCCCCCGTCTGGAGGGGAGGAGAGGGAAGGGAAGGCCCCCCCGTCTGGAGGGGAGGAGAGGAGAGGGAAGGGAAGGCCCCCCCGTCTGGAGGGGAGGAGAGGAGAGGGAAGGGAAGGCCCCCCCGCCTGGAGGGGAGGAGAGGAGAGGGAAGGGAAGGCCCCCCCGCCTGGAGGGGAGGAGAGGAGAGGGAAGGGAAGGCCCCCCCGCCTGGAGGGGAGGAGAGGGAAGGGAAGGCCCCCCCCCCCCCGCCTGGAGGGGAGGAGAGGGAAGGAAAGGCCCCCCCCCCCCGCCTGGAGGGGAGGAGAGGGAAGGAAAGGCCCCCCCCCCGCCTGGAGAGGAGAGGGGAGGGAAAGGCCCCCCCCCGCCTGGAGAGGAGAGGGAAGGCCCCCCCCCCGCCTGGAGAGGAGAGGGGAGGGAAGGCCCCCCCCCCCCGCCTGGAGAGGAGAGGAGAGGGGAGGGAAGGCCCCCCCCCGCCTGGAGAGGAGAGGGGAGGGAAGGCCCCCCCCCCCCCCCCCCCCCCCGGAGAGGAGAGGGGAGGGAAGGCCCCCCCCCCCCCCCCCCCGCCCCCGCCTGAGAGGAGAGGGGAGGGAAGGCCCCCCCCCCCCCCCCCCCCCGCCTGGAGAGGAGAGGGGAGGGAAGGCCCCCCCCCCCCCGCCTGGAGAGGAGAGGGGAGGGAAGGCCCCCCCCCCGCCTGGAGAGGAGAGGGGAGGGAAGGCCCCCCCCCCCCCCGCCTGGAGAGGGGAGGGAAGGCCCCCCCCCCCGCCTGGAGAGGAGGAGAGGGGAGGGAAGGCCCCCCCCCCCCGCCTGGAGAGGAGAGGAGGAGAGAGAGGGGAGGGAAGGCCCCCCCCCCCCCCCGGAGGAGAGGGAAGGGAAGGCCCCCCCCCCCCCGGCTGGAGGAGAGGGAAGGGAAGGCCCCCCCCCCCCCCCCCGGCTGGAGGAGGAGAGGGAAGGGAAGGGAAGGCCCCCCCCCCCCCCCCCCCCCCCCCCCCCAGGCTGGAGGAGAGGGAAGGGAAGGGAAGGGAAGGCCCCCCCCCCCAGGCTGGAGGAGAGGGAAGGGAAGGACCCCCCCCCCCCCCCCCCCCGGCTGGAGGAGAGGGAAGGGAAGGCCCCCCCCCCCCGGCTGGAGGAGAGGGAAGGGAAGGCCCCCCCCCCCCCGGCTGGAGGAGAGGAAGGGAAGGCCCCCCCCCCCCCCCCCCGGCTGGAGGAGAGGGAAGGCCCCCCCCCCCCCCCCCGGCTGGAGGAGAGGGAAGGGAATGGAATGCCCCCCCCCCCCCCGGCTGGAGGAGAGGAGAGGGACGGGAGTGGAATGCCCCCCCCCGGCTGGAGGAGAGGAGAGGAGAGGGAAGGGAATGCCCCCCCCCCCCCCCCCCCGGCTGGAGGAGAGGGAAGGGAAGGCCCCCCCCCCCCCCCGGCTGGAGGAGAGGGAAGGGAAGGCCCCCCCCGGCTGGAGGAGAGGGAAGGGAAGGCCCCCCCCGGCTGGAGGAGAGGGAAGGGAAGGCCCCCCCCGGCTGGAGGAGAGGAGAGGGAAGGGAATGGAATGCCCCCCCCCGGCTGGAGGAGAGGAGAGGGAAGGGAATGGAATGCCCCCCCCCAGCTGGAGGAGAGGAGAGGGAAGGGAATGGAATGCCCCCCCCCGGCTGGAGGAGAGGAGAGGGAAGGGAATGCCCCCGGCTGGAGAGGGAAGGGAATGCCCCCGGCTGGAGAGGGGAGGGCCCCCGGCTGGAGAGGGGAGGGAGGAGGGAGGGGGGAGGAAGGGCCCCTGGCTGGAGAGGGAGGGAGGGAGGATGGATGAAGGGCCCCCGGCTGGAGAGGGAGGGCCCCCGGCTGGAGAGGGAGGGAGGGAGGATGGATGAAGGGCCCCCGGCTGGAGAGGGAGGGCCCCTGTATTGGCTGTATGATGGAGGAACGGTACTCACAGGGAGTGCAGGATCTTCTCAGGCACAATGCTGTCTGGCCGGACATCCCACAGAGCCTTCTCCAGCAGAGGGCAGACACTCAGCACCTTGGCGTTGTTCATACAGAACTCTTCGGGGTCCACTAGGACGGTCTCTTCTTCCGAAGAGGAGTCTGGGGACCTGTGGAGGAGATCATGTATGAACGTGTACAAAATCCCCTGCGCATGAGTGTGCAGAGTCCTGGGAATTGATGTGTGTAATGCTCAAGAAGCAACCTGAGGGACCTGAATGGCCTTGCTGCCTTCCACTGGCCGGGGAACATCCACTGTAGGAAAACAAGGAAAGGAGGCGCACTGGCCTAGTTTGGCTCTGAGAAAGAGGGCTTGCCCTCGAAACGCGTAGTCCAGTGCAGATTCCTGGACGGCGTTCATCTGGTGCGTTTCTCCTTCCGGGTCCCACCCATCCTTGTGTCGGTGGATGCAACATCCAGAGGTTTCCATCCACGCCATCCCTCCGAGAGGTTTCCATCCACGCCATCCCTCCGAGGTTTCCATCCACAGGTTTCCATCCACGCCATCCCTCAGAGGTTTCCATCCACGCCACCCCTCAGAGAGGTTTCCATCCACGCCACCCCTCAGAGAGGTTTCCATCCACGCCATCCTCTCAGAGAGGTTTCCATCCACGCCATCCCTCCGAGAGAGGTTTCCATCCACGCCACCCCTCAGAGAGGTTTCCATCCACGCCACCCCTCAGAGAGGTTTCCATCCACGCCACCCCTCAGAGAGGTTTCCATCCACGCCACCCTCAGAGAGGTTTCCATCCACGCCACCCCTCAGAGAGGTTTCCATCCACGCCACCCCTCAGAGAGGTTTCCATCCACACCACCCCTCAGAGAGGTTTCCATCCACGCCACCCCTCAGAGAGGTTTCCATCCACGCCATCCAGAGGTTTCCATCCACACCATCCCTCAGAGGTTTCCATCCACGCCATCCCTCCAGAGGTTTCCATCCACGCCATCCCTCAGAGGTTTCCATCCACGCCATCCCTCAGAGGTTTCCATCCACGCCATCCCTCAGAGGTTTCCATCCACGCCATCCCTCAGAGGTTTCCATCCACGCCATCCCTCAGAGGTTTCCATCCACGCCATCCCTCCGAGAGGTTTCCATCCACACCATCCCTCAGAGGTTTCCATCCACGCCATCCCTCAGAGGTTTCCATCCACGCCATCCCTCAGAGGTTTCCATCCACGCCATCCCTCAGAGGTTTCCATCCACGCCATCCCTCAGAGGTTTCCATCCACGCCATCCCTCAGAGGTTTCCATCCACGCCATCCCTCAGAGGTTTCCATCCACGCCATCCCTCAGAGGTTTCCATCCACGCCATCCCTCAGAGGTTTCCATCCACGCCATCCCTCTGAGAGGTTTCCAAACTTTGGTTTGAGTAGCTTTATGGTTTTATTCCCCCACAATAAATTCCCTTGGGATGAGGGAGTAGACCAGTGCGCCTTCCTTTCTGGTTTACCTGTGGAGGAGAAGCAGCCTTGAAGGGATTCTCTCCTGTACCCCATCGTTGGGGCTCCCAGAATTCGGCTACCCAGGAGAAATACGGTCCCTGTGGTTTAGTACTACAACCATACTTGCAGCTGACCCCCCGCCACAGTCGCATTGACTCCGCTGCCATCATCGTCGTGTGCAGGAGAAGCGCAGCGTCGGCTGCAATTCCTGCAACCACCAGCTATGGTGCGGTCAGGCCCTAGTACGGGTGTGTGGTGCCCCTCAGACTGAAGTTCTGTACAGGAGACTCCAGCAGGACTCTATAGGTCCCAGAAGGCACAGAGAGCACCTGAAGCAGAGACAGGCGACTGCAGGCAGTAGAGGAGGTCAGGCCATCACACTTACCCGGTCTCCGGCGGTTGGAGCTGCTGCGGCAGGGACATTTTGGGAAATCCGTTTCCTCCATAGCTGTGGTCGTTCTCCAGGCTGAGCCGCTGGAGGCGAGCAGAAACCGCATCTTCGGACAGGTAATGCTTGACAGCCGGGCCCCTGCCGGGAAAATACAGAATGATGAGGGGGGAGCAGAGAGGACAGTTACAGCCCAGCCTCAACCCTAACTAGTCTTAAAAGTGCCCCTCCCCCTCCCAACAACCCTGCGGACTAACCTGTGGAAAACAAAAGCCTGCTCTGGTCCAGTCACGTGATCCAGCTTCTCTGTGTCAGCTGCAGGGGAGAGGAGGGAGCTCCAACGACTGGGCCATAGGAGGCTACGGGTCACCACTGCAGGCTTCATCAGCCATTGTGTCGGATCTCTCTCCTCTCCCCTGCAGCTGCCTGACAGAGGGGCCCATGTGACCGGAGTATAGACACTGGTTAGGTGTCAGGAGGACTTTCCTGGCCTGAGAATCCCGAGATCTGAGTACACACCTCCAGATAAACACCCCGAGAATCAGGAGACGGGCAAATATTGAACAGGACTAGGTAGGAAGGTCAGGTGGCCCGCCTGATGTGTGAAGTCTGACTCTTCCCCATCCCCCCGGGCCACATTGTGACACCGCTGTGTTAGGTTATGTAGATCTTCAGGAGACGGAGCCCCGGGCTGCAGCAGAACATTCATACCGACTTGCTGGGTCTGTTCTGTCGTGGAAAACACATCGATTGACGTCCTAGACTATATAGTCCTGTGATCCAATCAGGTAGAAGGATCAGAGTGATAGGAGGAGTCATACCACGATCCTGACCAGAACATGTACCAGGGTATCCCACTGGGCTGTCCACGGTGACACGTACCACTCCAGAGGAAGAGGACACCATCCCACTGGGCTGTCCACGGTGACACATACCACTCCAGAGGAAGAGGGCACCACCCACTGGGCTGTCCACGGTGACACATACCACTCCAGAGGAAGAGGACACCATCACACTGGGCTGTCCACGGTGACACGTACACTCCAGAGGAAGAGGACACCATCCCACTGGGCTGTCCACGGTGACACGTACCACTCCAGAGGAAGAGGGGCACCATCACACTGGGCTGTCCACAGGTGACACGTCACTCCAGAGGAAGAGGGCACCATCACACTGGGCTGTCCGTGGTGACACGTACCACTCCAGAGGAAGAGGACACCATCACACTGGGCTGTCCACGGTGACACGTACCACTCCAGAGGAAGAGGGCACACCATCCCACTGGGCTGTCCACGGTGACACGTACCACTCCAGAGGAAGAGGACACCATCCCACTGGGCTGTCCACGGTGACACGTACCACTCCAGAGGAAGAGGGCACCATCACACTGGGCTGTCCACGGTGACACATCCACTCCAGAGAGGAAGAGGGCACCATACCACTGGGAAGAGGGCACACGGTGACACACATACCACTCCAGAGGAAGAGGGCACCACACACTGGGCTGTCCACGGTGACACGTCACTCCAGAGGAAGAGGGCACCATCACACTGGGCTGTCCACGGTGACACATACCACTCCAGAGGAAGAGGGCACCATCACACTGGGCTGTCCACGGTGACACATACCACTCCAGAGGAGAGGGCACCACGGTGACACATACCACTCCACTGGGGAAGAGGGCACACGGTGACACGTACCACTCCAGAGGAAGAGGGCACCATCACACTGGGCTGTCCACGGTGACACGTACCACTCCAGAGGAAGAGGGCACCATCCACTGGGCTGTCCACGGTGACACGTACCACTCCAGAGGAAGAGGGCACCATCACACTGGGCTGTCCACGGTGACACGTACCACTCCAGAGGAAGAGGGCACCATCCCACTGGGCTGTCCACGGTGACACGTACCACTCCAGAGGAAGAGGGCACCATCCCACTGGGCTGTCCACGGTGACACGTACCACTCCAGAGGAAGAGGGCACCATCCCACTGGGCTGTCCACGGTGACACGTACCACTCCAGAGGAAGAGGGCACCATCACACTGGGCTGTCCACGGTGACACGTACCACTCCAGAGGAAGAGGACACCATCACACTGGGCTGTCCACGGTGACACGTACCACTCCAGAGGAAGAGGGCACCATCACACTGGGCTGTCCACGGTGACACGTACCACTCCAGAGGAAGAGGGCACCATCCCACTGGGCTGTCCACGGTGACACATACCACTCCAGAGGAAGAGGGCACCATCCCACTGGGCTGTCCACGGTGACACGTACCACTCCAGAGGAAGAGGGCACCATCCCACTGGGCTGTCCACGGTGACACGTACCACTCCAGAGGAAGAGGGCACCATCACACTGGGCTGTCCACGGTGACACGTACACTCCAGAGGAAGAGGGCACCATCCCACTGGGCTGTCCACGGTGACACGTACCACTCCAGAGGAAGAGGGCACCATCCCACTGGGCTGTCCACGGTGACACGTACCACTCCAGAGGAAGAGGGCACCATCACACTGGGCTGTCCACGGTGACACGTACCACTCCAGAGGAAGAGGGCACCATCCCACTGGGCTGTCCACGGTGACACGTACCACTCCAGAGGAAGAGGGCACCATCCCACTGGGCTGTCCACGGTGACACGTACCACTCCAGAGGAAGAGGGCACCATCACACTGGGCTGTCCACGGTGACACACATACCACTCCAGAGGAAGAAAGGGCACCATCCCACTGGGCTGTCCACGGTGACACATACCACTCCAGAGGAAGAGGACACCATCCACTGGGCTGTCCACGGTGACACATACCACTCCAGAGGAAGAGGGGCACACCATCACACTGGGCTGTCCACGGTGACACGTACCACTCCAGAGGAAGAGGGCACCATCCCACTGGGCTGTCCACGGTGACACGTACCACTCCAGAGGAAGAGGGCACCATCACACTGGGCTGTCCACGGTGACACGTCCACTCCAGAGGAAGAGGGCACCATCACACTGGGCTGTCCACGGTGACACGTCACTCCAGAGGAAGAGGGCACCATCACACTGGGCTGTCCACGGTGACACGTACCACTCCAGAGGAAGAGGGCACCATCACACTGGGCTGTCCACGGTGACACGTACCGTCCAGAGGAAGAGGACACCATCACACTGGGCTGTCCACGGTGACACATACCACTCCAGAGGAAGAGGGCACCATCACCACCAGGGAAGTCCCACGGTGACACGATCCACTCCAGAGGAAGAGGACACCATCACACTGGGCTGTCCACGGTGACACGTACCACTCCAGAGGAAGAGGGCACCATCACACTGGGCTGTCCACGGTGACACATACCACTCCAGAGGAAGAGGCACCATCACACATGACACTGGGCTGTCCGTGGTGACACGTACCACTCCAGAGGAAGAGGACACCATCACACTGGGCTGTCCACGGTGACACACTGCACGTCACTCCAGAGGAAGAGGAGGTCACCCATCACACTGGGCTGTCCACGGTGACACAGTCACTCCAGAGGAAGAGGGCACCATCACACTGGGCTGTCCCACGGTGACACGTCACTCCAGAGGAAGAGGGCACCATCACACTGGCTGTCCACGGTGACACGTACCACTCCAGAGGAAGAGGGCACCATCACACTTTGGCTGTCCACGGTGACACACTACCACTCCAGAGGAAGAGGGCACCATCACACTGGGCTGTCCACGGTGACACGTCACTCCAGAGGAGGGAGGACACCATCACACTGGGCTGTCCACACGGTGACACATACCACTCCAGAGGAAGAGGGGCACCATCACACTGGGCTGTCCACGGTGACACGTCACCACTCCAGAGGAAGAGGGCACCATCACACTGGGCTGTCCGTGGTGACACATACCACTCCAGAGGAAGAGGGCACCACGGGTGACACATACCCACTCCAGAGGAAGAGGGTCCATCCCACTGGGCTGTCCACGGTGACACGTACCACTCCAGAGGAAGAGGGCACCATCCCACTGGGCTGTCCACGGTGACACGTACCACTCCAGAGGAAGAGGACACCATCACACTGGGCTGTCCACGGTGACACATACCACTCCAGAGGAAGAGGACACCATCACACTGGGCTGTCCACGGTGACACGTCACTGCAGAGGAAGAGGGCACCATCACACTGGGCTGTCCACGGTGACACATACAGCTCCAGAGGAAGAGGACACCATCACACTGGGCTGTCCACGGTGACACGTACCGCTCCAGAGGAGGAGGACACCATCACACACTGGGCTGTCCATGGTGACACATACCACTCCAGAGGAAGAGGGCACCATCACACTGGGCTGTCCCACGGTGACACGTCACTCCAGAGGAAGAGGGCACCATCACACTGGGCTGTCCATGGTGACACATACCAGCTCCAGAGGAAGAGGGCACCATCACACTGGGCTGTCCACGGTGACACGTACCACTCCAGAGGAGAGAGGGCACCACCACACTGGGCTGTCCACGGTGACACATACCGCTCCAGAGGAAGAGGGCACCACCACACTGGGCTGTCCACGGTGACACATACCACTCCAGAGGAAGAGGGCACCATCACACTGGGCTGTCCACGGTGACACGTCACTCCCAGAGGAAGAGGGCACCATCACACTGGGCTGTCCATGGTGACACATACAGCTCCAGAGGAAGAGGGCACCATCACACTGGGCTGTCCACGGTGACACGTACCACTCCAGAGGAAGAGGGCACCACCACACTGGGCTGTCCACGGTGACACATACCGCTCCAGAGGAAGAGGGCACCACCACACTGGGCTGTCCACGGTGACACATACCGCTCCAGAGGAAGAGGACACCATCACACTGGGTTTGTAATGGTGACACCTATCCTCATATCCGAAAGACACTAGAACCTGGAGGGTGGCAGGTAACTTGCGAGACGTTTGGTGGCATTTCTCCTATCATGAGTTGCATTTTAAAGTGGTACTCCGTCCGCAACATATATTTCTATGTAGATCCTGGAGAGTGAAGCCTTCTCCCATAAATGCATCCTCTTGCCTGTCAGCTGTCATGTTCTCTGAGCCGCGCATGCGCAGCAAACATTTATGACCCCGATCTGTGCCGCAGCGATGTGACTCCTGTGCGTATGCGGTGGAGTGATGTCATCGTGGCCTGACCTATCACAGGGCTGAAAGCCCATGGTCGATCCCACTGCAGCGCTGGAGGGCACCATGTTCCAGGTCACCCTGCCATAATGTACTACTATGCCGTGCATACCAGCAGATCACGGCATGACCCATTTGGGGCCCCTAAAAAACCCGACGTAGCAGACTTTACTACCACTTCAATGCGGAGTTCCACTCACCCTAAAAAATAGCCCCCTCGTCCCGCGTTTCCCCCGCCGCAGCCCGTTTCATCGGCCGTCCTGTATTCCAGGTGCCGCCATCTTCAGTGTGGCAGTTTGCGGCTTTACAGCCGGGTGCCCACTGAGCATGTGCGAGAAGCACTGCGCTTCCTGAATGGCCCCGTAGTCTTCTGGGACCCGTCACATGACCCACAAGACTTCAGGGAGGAGGGGGGAGGACAACTTCCGTTTACCAATCGCCTACGCATTCGCAGTAAAATTCGGGTACCCGCTTCCCATCCCCCCCCCCCGCTCCCCAAAGGTGCCAAACCCACAAGACTCCTCCCACAAGACTCCAAAAGGAAAGACAATTTTAGGGCGACAAAGGGGGGGGCGGATGGTGGCAGTGCTCGACCCCAAACAGAAAACCTAAATCAAGGAACTGCCCCCCCAACTCACTCGTCCTCCTGACAAATCCGCCGCTTGGTGCAGGAAGGGTCCGGCCGGCTGAGCGGGAGACACCTGTATGAGTGGAGAGAGAGAGACACGTCAGTATGGAGACACACCCCCCCACTGAAGGCCCTCCCCCCATCACATGTGTAATCCCCCCCCTCACCTGTGTCATCCCCCCGTCCCCTCTCCAGTCACACCTGTGCATAGGCCTTCTCCTTTCCCCAAGACTCACCCGTCCTTCCAACCAGCCCCCCTCTTTACCCAATCACCTGTCAGGTAGTCAAGCCCCCCCCCCCTCCTCCCCCCCCCTCACCTGTCTGGGGGTCCGGTCCTCCTCCTCCCCCCCCCCTCACCTGTCCGGGGGTCCGGTCCTCCTCCTCCCCCCCCCTCACCTGTCCGGGGGTCCGGTCCTCCTCACCTGTCCCCCCCCCCCTCACCTGTCCGGTCCCTCCTCCTCCCCCCCCCTCACCTGTCCGGGGGTCCGGTTCCTCCTCCTCCCCCCCCTCACCTGTCCGGGGGTCCGGTCCTCCTCCTCCCCCCCCCCTCACCTGCCGGGGGTCCGGTCCTCCTCCTCCCCCCCTCACCTGTCCGGGGGTCCGGTCCTCCTCCTCCTCCCCCCCTCACCTGTCCGGTCCGGTCCTCCTCTCCCCCCCCCTCACCTGTCCGGGGGTCCGGTCCTCCTCCCCCCCCCCCCCTCACCTGTCCGGGGGTCCGGTCCTCCTCCTCCTCCCCCTCCCCCCCCCCCCTCACCTGTCCGGGGGTCCGGTCCTCCTCCTCCTCCCCCCCCCCCCTCACCTGTCCGGGGGTCCGGTCCTCCTCCTCCCCCCCTCCCCCTGCCCCCGCTCCTCCTCCTCCCCCCCCTCACCTGTCCGGGGGTCCGGTCCTCCTCCTCCCCCCCCTCCTCCCCCACCTGTCCGGGGGTCCGGTCCTCCTCCTCCCCCCCCCTCACTCACCTGTCCGGGGGTCCGGTCCTCCTCCTCCTCCCCCCCCCCACCTGCCCGGGGGTCCTCCGCCTCCTCCTCCCCCCTCACCTGTCCTCCTCCTCCCCTCCTCACCTGCCCGGGGGGGTCCGGTCCTCCTCCTCCTCCCCCCCCTCACCTGCCCGGGGGTCCGGTCCTCCTCCCCCCCCTCACCTGCCGGGGGTCCGGTCCTCCTCCTCCCCTCCTCACCTGTCCGGGGGTCCGGTCCTCCTCCTCCCTCCTCCTCCCTCTGCCCGGGGGTCCGGTCCTCCTCCTCCCCCCGGTCCCCTCACCTGCCCGGGGGTCCGGTCCTCCTCACTCCCCCCACCTCACCTGCTCCCATCCTCCGGGTCCGGTCCTCCTCCTCCTCCCCCCTCACCTGCCCGGGGGTCCGCTCCTCCTCCCCTCCCCTGCCCGGGGGTCCGGTCCTCCTCCTCCTCCTCACCTGCCCGGGGGTCCGCCTCCTCCTCCTCCTCCTCCTGCTCCGGGGGTCCGGCCTCCTCCTCTCCTCTCCCCTGCCCGGGGGTCCGCCTCCTCCTCCTCCTCCTGCCCGGGGGTCCGCTCCTCCTCCCCTCACCTGCCCGGGGGTCCGCCTCCTCCTCCCCTCATCCACCTGCCCGGGGGTCCGCTCCTCCTCCTCCCTCACCCTGCCCGGGGGTCCGCTCCTCCTCTCCTCACCTGCCCGGGGGTCCGCTCCTCCTCCTCCTCTCCCCTGCCCGGGGGTCCGGTCCTCCTCCTCTCTCCCCTCGCCCGGGGGTCCGCTCCTCCTCCTCCCCTCCCCTGCCCGGGGGTCCGCCTCCTCCTCCTCTCCCCCGCCCGGGGGTCCGCCCTCGCCTCCTTTGCTACGCATGCGCCAAGGACGTAAAATCTTTATTACACCGGTCCGGTCCTCCTCTCCTCCCCTCCCCTGCCCGGGGGTCCGGTCCTCCTCCCCCTCCCCTGCCCGGGGGTCCGGTCCTCCTCCCCTCACCTGCCCGGGGGGTCCGGTCTCCTCTCCCCTGCCCGGGGGTCCGGTCCTCCTCTCACCTGCCAGGGGGTCCGGTCCTCCTCCCCTCACCTGTCCAGGTCCGGTCCGGTCCAACTCCTCCCCTCACCTGTCCGGAGGTCCGGTCCAATTCCTCCCCTCACCTGTCCGGTGGTCCGGTTCTCCTCCTCCACTCACCTGTCCGGTGGTCCGGTCCTCCTCCTTCCCCGGCTCCCGGTACTCTCATCCCGCACAGGCCTCGCTTTGACTACGCATGCGCCAAGTAGGATGACGTAAAATCTTTATTACACCATCAGACTGCGAACATACAAACTGCCCCATCTTTATTGGCAGCCTCGGAATGAACAGAACTCAGACGAGAGTTATATAGTTTATATATATAGTTATATAGTTATAGAGAGCACAGTGCACTATTATCAGTCGGGTGAGTACATAGACACCCCCGGGGGACTCTCTGTCCGGTGTGACAGCACAGATCGCATTTTACCGGAATGATAAGCAAGACGGGAAACCTACCATAAAAATGGCGGCGATATTCTATGAGGGCGACATTTCCACAATCCGGAAGTTGGCGGTGATGGGCGGGGATCACGTGCTTCTCATCCCCACACAGCCTCAGGTGTTGTCTGGAGTCACATAGTCAGATGCCGGACACGCCCACAAATACTTCCCAACCAATCAGCGGCGCCTGTCAGAGGAATCACATGACAGCAGCAACCAGAATCACGGCAGAGCCGAGACTGAGCCCAGCTGGAGGTAGGTGAGAGGGGCCACAGCTACAACCAGGGGCCACACTGACAGCCAGGGACCACAGCTACAACCAGGGGCCACACTGACAGCCAGGGACCACAGCTACAACCAGGGACCACAGCTACAACCAGGGGCCACACTGATAGCCAGGGACCACAGCTACAACCAGGGGCCACACTGACAGCCAGTGACCACAGCTACAATTAGGGGCCACACTGACAGCCAGGGACCACAGCTACAACCAGGGGCCACAGTTACAAGCAGGGGCCACACTGACAGCCAGGGACCACAGCTACAACCAGGGACCACAGCTACAACCAGGGGCCACACTGACAGCCAGTGACCACAGCTACAATTAGGGGCCACACTGACAGCCAGGGACCACAGCTACAACTAGGGACCACAGCGACAGCCAGGGACCACAGTTACAACCAGGGACCACACTGACAGCCAGGGACCACAGCTACAACCAGGGACCACACTGACAGCCAGGGACCACAGCTACAACCAAGGACCACACTGACAGCCAGGGACCACAGCTTCAACCAGGGGCCACAGCTTCAACCAGGGACCACAGTTACAACCAGGGACCACACTGACAGCCAGGGACCACAGCTTCAACCAGGGGCCACAGCTTCAACCAGGGACCACAGTTACAACCAGGGACCACACTGACAGCCAGGGACCACAGCTACAACCAGGGACCACAGCTACAACCAGGGACCACAGCTACAACCAGGGACCACAGTTACAACCAGGGGCCACACTGATAGCCAGGGACCACAGCTAGGGACAACCAGGGGCCACAGCTTCAACCAGGGACCACAGTTACAACCAGGGGCCACACTGATAGCCAGGGACCACAGCTACAACCAGGGGCCACACTGACAGCCAGTGACCACAGCTACAACCAGGGACCACAGCTACAATTAGGGGCCACACTGACAGCCAGGGACCACAGCTACAACCAGGGACCACAGCTACAACCAGGGGCCACACTGACAGCCAGTGACCACAGCTACAATTAGGGGCCACACTGACAGCCAGGGACCACAGCTACAACCAGGGACCACAGTTACAACCAGGGACCACAGTTACAACCAGGGACCACACTGACAGCCAGGGACCACAGCTACAACCAGGGACCACAGTTACAAGCAGGGGCCACACTGACAGCCAGGGACCACAGTTACAAGCAGGGACCACACTGACAGCCAGGGACCACAGCTACAACCAGGGGCCACAGCTTCAACCAGGGGCCACAGCTTCAACCAGGGACCGCAGCTACAACCAGGGACCACAGCTACAATTAGGGGCCACACTGACAGCCAGGGGCCACAGCTACAACCAGGGACCACAGCTACAACCAGGGACCACAGCTACAATTAGGGGCCACACTGACAGCCAGGGGCCACAGCTACAATTAGGGGACCACAGCTACAACCAGGGACCACAGCTACAACCAGGGACCACAGCTACAATTAGGGGCCACAGCTACAACCAGGGACCACAGCTACAATTAGGGACCACAGCTGCAACCAGGGGCCACAGCTACAATTAGGGGCCACACTGACAGCCAGGGGCCACAGCTACAATTAGGGGCCACACTGACAGCCAGGGGCCACAGCTACAATTAGGGGCCACACTGACAGCCAGGGACCACAGCTACAATTAGGGGCCACACTGACAGCCAGGGACCACAGCTACAATTAGGGGCCACACTGACAGCCAGGGACCACAGCTACAATTAGGGGCCACACTGACAGCCAGGGACCACAGCTCCAACCAGGGGCCACACTGACAGCCAGGGACCACAGCTCCAACCAGGGGCCACACTGACAGTCAGGGACCACAGCTACAATTGGGGGGCCACTGCGACAGGCAGGGAACACAGCTACATCCAGGGAAACCAGGGGCCACACTGACAGCCAGGGACCACAACCACAATTAGGGGACACACTGACAGCCATGGACCACAGCTACAACCAGGGGCCACACTGACAGCCAGGGGCCACAGCTACAGCCAGGGGTCACACTGACAGCACTGCGCCGTCAGCCCCTGATGAAGGGGGCGATGATGGCTCCGCCCCGCCCTGTGCCGTCAGCCCTGGTGAAGGGGGCGATGATGGCTCCGCCCCGCCCTGTGCCGTCAGCCCTGGTGAAGGGGGCGATGATGGCTCCGCCCCGCCCTGTGCCGTCAGCCCTGGTGAAGGGGGCGATGATGGCTCCGCCCCGCCCTGTGCCGTCAGCCCTGGTGAAGGGGGCGATGATGGCTCCGCCCCGCCCTGTGCCGTCAGCCCTGGTGAAGGGGGCGATGATGGCTCCGCCCCGCCCTGTGCCGTCAGCCCTGGTGAAGGGGGCGATGATGGCTCCGCCCCGCCCTGTGCCGTCAGCCCTGGTGAAGGGGGCGATGATGGCTCCGCCCCGCCCTGTGCCGTCAGCCCTGGTGAAGGGGGCGATGATGGCTCCGCCCCGCCCTGTGCCGTCAGCCCTGGTGAAGGGGGCGATGATGGCTCCGCCCCGCACTGTGCCACCATCACTGTCTGTTTGTTACATGACACTGAAAGCCAAGTGGAGTTGGAAGATCCTCGGGGGTGGAGACATCTGCCGGGTCACCTCCATCCTCATCCTCCAATAACTTCTCCTGATGGCTCCGGCGCTTTTCTTCCCTCACCTGGAGACATTCCTCTCATTTCCTGTCCAGTGATGACGGATCTCCAGTGGGGGGGGGGGTCACGCTATATGGGGGGGACAGCAGAGTGATCCTTCGGTGGGGGGAGATGGAGTGATCCTTCGGTGGGGGGAGATGAGGAGTGATCCTCGGGGGGGGGGGGGGGGGGGGGGAGATGAGGAGTGATCCTCGGGGGGGGGGGGGGGGGGGGGGGGGGGGGGGGGAGATGAAGAGTGATCCTCGGTGGAGGGGGGAGATGAGGGGTGATCCTCGGTGGAGGGGGGAGATGAGGGGTGATCCTCGGTGGAGGGGGGAGATGAGGGGTGATCCTCGGTGGAGGGGGGAGATGAGGGGTGATCCTCGGTGGGGGGGGGGGGTGATCCTCGGTGGGGGGGTGAGGGGTGATCCTTGGTGGGGAGGAAGGATCCTCGGTGGGTGGTGGGGAGATGAGGAGTGATCCTCCGTTGGGGGGGGGGGGGAGGGCAGTTGAGGATTGATCCCGGGGGGGGATGGGGGGAGATGAGGAGTGATCTCGGTGGGGAGGGTAAGGGGTGATCCACGGTGGGGGAGGTGATGTATCCCGGTGGGGGAGGTGAGGGGTGATCCGGTGGGGGGGGGAGGTGAGGGGTGATCCTCGGTGGGGGGGGAGGTGAGGGGAAGTGATCCTCGGTGGGGGGGGGGAGGGGATGAGGGGTGATCCTACGGTGGTGGGGGGAGGTGAGGGGTCGATCCTCGGGTGGGGGGGGATTAGATGAGGTTGATCCTCGGTGGGGGGATAGCTGAGGGGTGATTCCTCTGGTGGGGGGGATATAGATGAGGGGTGATCCTCGGGGGGGGGGAGGTGAGGGGTGATCCTCGGTGGGGGGGGTAGGTGAGGGGTGATCCTCGGGTGGGGGGGGATAGATGAGGGTGTGATCCTCGGTGGGGGGATAGATGAGGGGTGATCTCGGTACGGTGGGTGGATAGATGAGGCGGGTGATCACTCTGGGTGTGGGGGGGGTGAGGGGTGATATCATCGTGGTAGGGGGGGATAGATGAGGGGTGATCCTCGGTGGGGGGATAGGATGAGGGGTGATCCGTCGTGGGAGGGGGTGTTGTGAGGGGTGATCTCGGTTGGGGGGGGATAGATGAGGGGTGAATTCTCGGAGTGGCGGGGGAGGGGGGAGGGGGTTTGAATCATCGGGGTGGGGAGGGGGGGGGGAGATGAGTTGATCCTTGGTGGGGAGGAGTGAATCCTCGGGTGGGGTGGTTGGGGGTGGGGAGATGAGGAAATGGATCCTCCCGGTGGGGGGGGGGAGGGAGATGAGGATTGATCCCCTGGGTGTGGTGGGGATGGGGGAGAAGATGAGGAGTGATCCTCTGGTGGAGGGTGGGAAGATGAGGGGTGATCCTCGGAGGGAGAGGTAGGGGTGAACCCGGTGGGGGGGGGGTGAGGGGTGATCCTCGGTGGGGGAGGTGAGGGTTTGATCTCGGTGGGGGAGGTGAGGGGTGATCTCGGTGGGGTGGGGGAGGTGAGGGGTGATCTCGGGGGGGGGGGGAGGTGAGGGGTGTCCCGGGGGGGGGGGGGAGGTGAGGGGTGATCCTGGGGTGGGGGGGGGGGAGGTGAGGGGTGATCCTCGGTGGGGGGGGGGTGGGGGGGTGCCTCGGTGGGGGGGGGGAGGTGAGGGGGGTGACCTCGGGGGGGGGGGAGGTTGGGGGGGTGACCCTCGGGGGGGGGAGGTGAGGGGTGATCCTGGGTGGGGGGGGATAGATGAGGGTGACCTCGGTGGGGGGATAGATGAGGGGGATCCTGGGGTGGGGGGG